CCCACCACCTCCCCACGCCCCTGGAAAAACGAAAATCACCTTGAAGGATGATATTATGTTTTAGTTAATAACCGGCTAGTTAGTGAATGGCTTATATAGTTTACTTTTTTAATACATGTAAATTGTTTTGAATTTGTAGCTTGTACTGGTGATCCAAATCTTGCCAGACGAAGAAGATAATTTAAGAACCAATCCAGTGTTTGCGCCCTGGTGTATGAACAAAAACATATGGCATTATTATTATTATTATTATTATTATGCATTGTAGCTGGTAAAAGCAATTTGATTGGCTAAGAGCTTACAGTTAAATCGCACAATCACGCAACCTACAGAGAATTCAGTTATCTGCTAGCAGATAACTCAGTTATCTGCAAGTGAACCTGCGATAATTAGCAAGCGGTATCTATTTACAGTCAAAATGCAAGAACATTCCAAAACATTCCCACTTCCGCTTCTGTAACTTGACGTTTTGTATTTCTGTTATTTGTTCTATTTTCTGTTGCATTTTTTATCGGCAAATATCGCGGTAGAATTCCCCTTTCTTTCCTTCATATACGTCGATTTGTAGCAAAGGATACACCTTTCGTTAGATTCTTTGCATAAAAGTTGTGAAATTTTCATTTTAGTACGTCAAATGATTGTATTCGGTAACTTTAAATTTGTATAGTATGAACACACTAGGCGGCGGTTTAAAACCGATTTATCAGCAAATATCGCTATAAGATCTAAGTTTCGCAACTTTTATGCAAAGAATCTAACGAAAGGTTGCTACGTATATAAAGGAAGAAAAGCGAAATTCTACCGGATCCTAACGCGATATGTGCCGATAAAGCGGTAATCGCTACAGAAAATAGAACAAATAAATACAAAACAAGTTACAGAAGCGGGAAGGTTCTTGTATTTTGACTGTAACACAAACAAATGTATAATAAAACAATTATTGAATTCGATTTTTGCGATATGCAAAATTATCAAGGTCTCGGTAGCGCTCAGTACCGAGACTTTGATAATTCCGCATATTGTAAAACGACCTCTTTAGTTGTTGTTATTATATAGCAACACGCGGGATCGTCGAGGCCGTTAGGGGGACAGCTTGATTAGATTCACAACAAGTAAAACTTCAATACATATATCTTTCTTAATATATTTAATGTTTCCCCAGTGCGTAGTGCTATGTTCCAATTCTCTCGAATGAATTGTGCGTATCGATATACAGGGTGTCCCAAAAAACCCGAAAACTATTGAAATAACTTATTGTTAAATTTGAATGCCCTACCAAACAGCTGGACGTAATGATGCGTAAATATTGACAAGGTGCATGTATTAGAATTTAGTTAGGAATATCTCCTGGTAAAGTGCGCGATTTTCTGCTCCTGGGAATTAAAAACAGTTTCTTAAACAGTTTCTTTATGCATAAAATTTACTTATGTCAATCATTTATGCACTCGTGGGAACCAACAGAGCACTAAGGCATTCAAATTCTAACAATTAAATTGTTATCGGTGATTTCAATAGTTTTCGTTTTTATATATATATATATATATAAGAGCGCCAAGCGAAATTACAAGTTATTTTAAACGCTAGCTATAATAGCAATAGTAAAGGAGGGGTGGAAAAGCAATTAAGATTAGTAGCACAAGTAGGCTTGATAATAAGCTAAAAATGTAGAAGTACATGTTGGCAGGCAAGAGGAAACTTAACGTTAATAGTATTTTTGGGGTAAAGATTATATCTGGGTGAATCTATTTCATAATGTTCCAAAGTTTAGCATGTTTTGCGCGCGATAAACGATCGCGTGGGTGGCACTAAAACTACAAATACTATACTTGAGAGAGGTTTTTACAGCCTGTACCTCACATCAGCATGGTGCCAGTCATTTCTCATTGTAATTCATTTGCATTGAAACTAGTAATGAAAACTCTCTCGGCACATCAAGCTAAATATTTTCTATGGTCAAATATTTTCTGTCTCAAGACACATCTACACTGTTAATTTTAGGGTGTTAAAATAACACCAAAAAGTGGTGTTAAAAAATTAGGTAAAAAATGACACTACTTTTTGGTGCTATTTTAACACCACTACACTGTAAAAACTGATAGGTTAAAACAACCTATTTCTAAAGGTTGTAACCAATAATTAAAGGTTGTTTTAACCAATTGAATGGGTTAGAACCGATTTAAATTAGTTAAAATAACCTATTATTATCAGGTCAAATTTTGCGACCAATAAAAATAGGTTAATTTAACCAATCTTTTTGGTTAAGCAAATTTACCGATTGGTTATTATTCCCAAATAGGTCATTATAACCATTATGATTAGGTCAAAATACTGAAAACTAAACTAACCTATATGAAATATGTTGAAATATTTAGTTCGACTTACGACATATACTTTCAATTTCAAGGAGTTATTCTCACTTCACTCAGTTAAAAGCCATTTATTAAATCGTATAGTAGAAGTGAAATAGTGAGTAATTTTCCACCAAGTTTTTACTCGGCCTGTGTATTATAACTCGACCATCACACATAGGAATGACAAAAACTATATTCAAGTTTCTTCAACCTAGAATTAGGGCGATATTTTCTATACAAATTCGTAGTGAAGGACAGCAGTTCGTAAAAATCAACTGACCCAAGATTTAATTCAGCTGGTTGACGCGCCGTTTTTCTCGAATATTGCCAAGTCAGATTCTTGTAGTTGTATTACAAGTATATCGGACCATATCGGCTTCTTATTGTTCGATCGCACGCGACGATCGAATGTAGCCAGAAATTGTCAGCGAGTTTTTCTTGTCAAATTAATTTAACACCAGCATTGCTCTCATCTATATTTTTGCTGCGTAAATCTCTATTATAATTACCCGCGTTTGCCAGAGATTCTGTAATTTGAACTTGTGGAATGTTTTGCTGCTGAATATAATTTTCAACAAGTGGAAATTCCAAACTTTCAACCAATTAACATGCTTAGAATATATCACGTGTTGCAGTAATTCGATCTGTATGACACATTGACAACAAGCGCCAAGTTCGATCTTTTGAGAGCAAGCATTCAAAGGAGAAGATTTTTATTCAAATTTTCTATTATAAAGTTCGAAAGACCTAGTAAAATACATGGAATTTGAAAGGTATGTCTATTGTGTATTTACTCATTTGTATGCGGATAGTTACTTGACATAATGTAGTTATATTTTTATTAAAATCGAAGGCCTGTATTTTATATTAGTCGCTTCGCCGCCGATTCACTCACAGGCGGCCCAGACGTGTATTAGTGTATAGTATTAAAATATATCATTATAGAATATACTACACAGTAAAATTTGTAATGAATTTTATATTTTAAAATCATATTTACTTGCCTAATTTGATTGTATGTGATCGTCTTTTATTTCTGAGCGACTTTACATTCGATGCCTGCGACTGTCTTCATAGGTGATAGTATTGAAAGCAAAGGCTAACGATTCCAGTTCTCAAACAGCCGACACGAACAATTCAAATCGAAAAATATCCCCTTCAAATTGCTTTCTTCGCGGTAAAACTTCGCCAGCGTATAGAATAAACACCCATCTTCGAACATACAAAGCAATATTAACACGTCCTATAATTTTTGCAATGGATTTTTAGCGAAATGTTTCGAGACTAAAATTCTATGGAACTTAGAAAGCCCGATAATTACTACGGCGCCTGCTTGGCCACCTAGCCTCCTTTACCGTTTGGATTTTCAGGGGGGGGGATCGAATAAAAAATACCGACTGTTTACAATATTTGAAATCTGATATTGTAATTTATCAACAACAAAACTCTTTTCGATCGTATACAGCAACAACAGCCAGCAAATCAATGCCGCGATAGCGACGGTTTACTATATTTGAAATCTGATATTGTAATTTGCAAAAGCTATCTTTCTATCTTATACTATACGATCGATCGATCGAAAGAGTTTTGTTGTTGATAAATTACAATATCAGATTTC